CCAATAAAGACAAGAATGAATTAAAATGTCTGTATGATTTCCCAAGCAGGGAGTGTCATCCCTTCAAATTGAGGAAGACTTTCCAGCACTTCAAAATAACAGAATTCCTTTAAAACTGAAATAATAAGCAATATTCTTTAACATGTTCATTGTATCCAATTTCTCTGGCTATCAGTTCTGTTACACTGAGACCAACTTTTTTTTTCCTAAATAGTGTCCAACAGACTACCAATAATTAAAACAAATTTACTCGAAAATATTAAGTAGCAATAAAACCAAAGCTCCCACTGGGATATGCCAGCATCCCTTATATTCATCACTTAAACTGTGTGTTTCTAAGAACTACTGGATTAACATACAAGGTGTATTAACATACAAGTTTTACTTTATAAAGCTTAGCATTATACTTCAAAGTACCTTGAGATTTCCTATTAAATACCTGATGTAGGCATCTGTATGCATTCTTTATTAAATACAGTGAGGCGGCTGCTGGATTTTTCCATGCAAGGTCAGGTTACAGTATTACTGTCTCATACATTTATAAACTGGACAGAATGGGGGTTAGACTTCCACCAAAGCTAGATCCACCCAGCCCTTTGGGATGGATCAGGCCAAGAACCTGCTCAGCCTTCTGAATCCACTAACTAGTCCTTACAACATTTCTTTCTGCAGTTTTCAAGTCATAAACAGATTGGAATGGACTTCCACGCCATCAAAATCAGATAGCAACTGCTCAACAGAGAAGGTATTCTCCCTCATGATAAATTCTGATGTGTCCTTCCTTACATTTCAAGTTCAACAATCTGAAGTTATGAAATCTAACAGCAGATATAAAAAAGACAAAGCTATCAACAATGGGAAGTGGGAACAGGGTTTCAAACAAGCAATCAAATACATAAAGAAAAATATATAAATAACTGGTCTGCAGGAGGGGAGACAATCTGGAGAAAATCCACCACTCTTTCTGAAAGAGCAGGATAAAACATTGTCCATTTCATATTTATAAGCTATTTTCTATCTACCTACCTATCTGATCTAGACATGTCTACAGAGATTAAAAATATGTCAATTACATGAATACATATCACTTAAGTATATCATACACAATAAAAATATTAATAATAGGCACCAAAAGGCTTAAAATGTATAACTTTAAATAAACTATATGCCAAATTATAAGTGGGTAACTAAGGCCTAATATTCCTTAAATAGTCATATTGGCATAGCTGTCAATGTTGAAACATTAATAATGTTTCAATATTGGACACCAAATTCTTCAGAATAATGTTAACCTTAGAAAGTATTATTTTAGGGGTGCCTAGGTGGCTCAGTCAATTAAGCATCCAGCTCTTGATTTCAGCTCAGCTCTTGATCTCAGGTCATGAGTTCAAGCCCCACGTTGGGTGTGGAGCCTACTTAAAGGGGGAAAAAAAAAATATATATATATATATATAATTTTAATCATAAAACCTACTAATATCTCAAAGGGGAGTCATTCTACAATTCTAATAGTTTGTGCTGTTGCATCTGAAAAAGCGAGGAATGTTTGTAAAATCAGATTAAAATAATAATGTTAAAAGTAAGTCTCAGTCTAATATCTGAGGAGCTCTGGGAGAGTGGAGAAGGATCAAAGATGACCTTGGTCATCTGCAGAATAAAATGATGAAATGAAAGTTCATGGGCACTTGAACTTCAGAAAAAGCAAACCTCACAGATACATATTTGAACCAGAATTGAAAATACACCTATGGTGATTGGGTGATCATAGTAGACAGCAAGTAAAAGCCAGAACTCCAGGAAGCATGCTTTTAGGAGGCCTTTTCTTTAAACAGAACTGCAGCACATATAAATGAGCACTCCCTGACACTTGGCATCATTCCAACACAGGCCACTGGCCTCATTTCAAGGGCTCAAGAGTCCCATGGGGCCAGTGGCCACCATAGTGGACAGAGTAGGACTGAGGGGAAACAACATCATCCAGAGGCTGGCGGGGTGGGCAGAGGGGAGGAGATAATTTCCCAAGACCCATTCCAGGCCCTATGAATCACAAAATCTTAGGGCATCTAAACAATCACTAGAGTCTTCATTAACTCATTTTAACTAAATGCATTTGAATTTATGATTTATAAAGATGGAGAGAATAAGAGAAAAACAGAAATATGTAAAAAGAAAAGTCAATGAAGCATTAATCAGAGTAATTCAAAAATTTTTCCAGTTAGTCACAAAGACCTTTTCAATTATTATTTTCAGTCACTTTGAAGGAAGGATGAGAAGTAGAATCATAATGACCATAGGGACTATTAGTGCCTATCACAATGTAACTGTGTTTCCAGTAGCATCAAAAGAAGAAATACTCACTTGTCTTCCAAAGGGGGGAAACCTTCTTTATATACATCCCACTGATTTGAAGCCCTTATCAAAGACTCATTGAGTGACCTCAAAGTTCAACTCTAAGTTCCCAGGCCAGGTAGGAATGACAGTCACATAGCTCTGCTAACCTGCCTACGTTGCCAAAGAGACAGTTATACTGTAAGATTGCTTCAATGATTAAAAATATTCCTTGACACTGATTAATTTGAAGTTCACCTCCCTACAGCTTCTACCCACTTGGAGAGGAAACAGAATCAATGAACTTCCTTTTCCTATGTATCCTGAGACTTTCTGGTATCCAGGAGAAGCACAGAAACATGCAAATATATGTTCATATAGGAGTTGATGTAGTTAACCTTCCATTAATTATCAATAATGCCCTTCTTGTCACTGATCCTACAAAGCAGAACTTCTGCTTCAGTCTTAAAATTTGTACAGCACTAATCAAAACCCTGGCTCTCCATTTAAAAAAAAAAGAAAAGAGAAGAAAATTATACGAAAAACTACACAAATTGCACAAACTGTCAGACACATTGGCAGCCCAAACCCATCACATATGCCCCTCCAAACATTAGATAAAATATTGTCACTTCAGCACTCATTCTTCACAAAGCACCCTGAATCCAAAGTAACTCCAAAAATGCAATATTAGCTGATGCCACATGAAACTCATGCCACCAGGGTATCAGGAACAGGCCAGGAAACAGATAAATATTTGTAGTGTTTATGATATTACAACAATTAAACAGTCAATGGATAGATTATCCATATTATCAGGTAACTATAAAAAGAACAGGACAATCAGAGAAAGACAATTATCGTATGGTTTCACTCACATGAGGAATGACAGAAACAGCACACAGGATCACAGGGGAAGGGAGGGAAAAACGAATGGGAAGAAACCAGAGAGGGAGACAAACCATGAGAGGCTCTTAACTATGGGAAAGAAACTGAGGGTTGCTGGAGGGGAGGTAGGTGAGAGGATGGGGTAACTGGGTGACTGGCATTAAGGTGATGAGCACTGGGTGTTATATGCAACTGATAAATTACTGAACTACATCTGAAGCTAATGATGTTCTATATGTTGGTTAATTGAACTTAAATAAGAAGAAGAGGAAGTATGGGGTGACTGGGTGACAGACACTGGGAAGGGTATGTGCTCTGGTAAGCGCTGTGAATTGTGCAAGACTGTTGAATCTAAGATCTGTACCTCTGAAACAAATAATGCAATAT